GCATAATTATGTCTTGAATAATAGATGCCCATACTTACACATCCATGGCCACAGCAGCCTAGCCAACTCGGCCTCTCCATCAGGCCAGCACAGCTCACGAAGCTTTGCTTAGTCATGGCCAGGCACGCTCCATATCCACAGATTGCACACATTTCCATATCAGTATTGTTCCCAAACCAGTAGGATGTGCATGGCCAATAATAGTGCACACATGTTGCAATATTAGACATATTATCACGGAGCATGACAATAATGTAGTTTGGTTGTGCTGGCTGATATGTCAATCAGCCTTGCCCCAAGCAAAGCCCAATCTGGAGCAGCACAGGCTTAATAGCAGCCGCTTACAATGTCAGCCCCAACTTGACAACTAGGCTATAGTTTTATTAGCCCTTGCCACAAGCTGCCCTAACAGCGGCTCCAGTTAAGTTACTTCAGTCAGTCGTAATATGGCTATTTAAGCATTATATTTACTGAAAGTAAAAGTGAAAGACTGAAAGTTCCTGTTCATGTTACTACAGCATCCTCCTGCATTCTTCACAGCAGAGTTGTGTGGAGCTTACCAGTGATAAATCACCAGCGGAAACACTGAACTAGCTAGATAACTGTAGTGATGGTGGACAGTGAGGGTCAATCAAAGAATTGTGAAACAATAATTGATGGTAATACATTACATGCAGCCACCAGTGTGCAGTCAATGCAAAACAAAGCGTACTCAGTCAAAATATGTCTTTGTAGTGAAGTAGGTGAATTTCACAAACACACCGATGGTGGCTGACATATTTATTTTATTCACCTATGTATTTTTTTACGTGCATTTGTCAAGTGGCAAGTGCTAACTTTGGACCTTGTGTGAAAGCTAACATAAGCAATGACTGACTACCTGCAATTGATTGTGTTTTATCTGAGGCCTGTAGTGTACTGTGTGTGCGCATCTACAGGTGCTGGTCATATAATTAGAATATCATCAAAAAGTTGATTTATTTCAGTAATTCCATTCAAAAAGTGAAACTTGTATAATGTATACATTCATTCCACACAGACTGATATATTTCAAGTGTTCATTTCCATTTTGATGATTATAACTGACAACTAATGAAAACCCCAAAATCAGTATCTCAGAAAATTAGAATATTGTGAAAAGGTTCAGTATTGAAGACACCTGGTGCCACACTCTAATCAGCTAATTAACTCAAAACACCTGCAAAGGCCTTTAAATGGTCTCTCAGTCTAGTTCTGTAGGCTACACAATCATGGGGAAGACTGCTGACTTGACAGCTGTCCAAAAGACGACCATTGACACCTTGCACAAGGAGGGCAAGACACAAAAGGTCATTGCTAAAGAGGCTGGCTGTTCACAGAGCTCTGTGTCCAAGCACATCAATAGAGAGGTGAAGGGAAGGAAAAGATGTGGTAGAAAAAAGTGTACAAGCAATAGGGATAACCGCACCCTGGAGAGGATTATGAAACAAAACCCATTCAAATATGTGGGGGAGATTCACAAAGAGTGGACTGCAGCTGGAGTCAGTGCTTCAAGAACCACCACGCACAGACATATGCAAGACATGGGTTTCAGCTGTCGCATTCCTTGTGTCAAGCCACTCTTGAACAAGACACAGCGTCAGAAGCGTCTTGCCTGGGCTAAAGACAAAAAGGACTGGACTGCTGCTGAGTGGTCCAAAGTTATGTTCTCTGATGCAGTAATTCAGACAAAAGGAGCCCCAACTAAGTATTGAGTGCTGTACATGCTCATACTTTTCATGTTCATACTTTTCAGTTGGCCAACATTTCTAAAAATCCTTTTTTTGTATTGGTCTTAATATTCTAATTTTAGAGATACTGAATTTGGGATTTTCATTAGTTGTCAGTTTTAATCATTACAATTAAATGAAATATCTGAAATATCAGTCTGTGTGGAAGGAAGGAAGGAATTTAATATCCAAGTTTCACTTTTTGAATGGAATTACTGAAATAAATCAACTTTTTGATGATATTCTAATTATGACCAGCACCTGTATGTGTGTGGGCAGGCGTGGTTTTCTCCAAGGCACCTGGTTCTCCAGCGCAGCTGCAAGGGATCTTCTAATCAAGCCCCAGCACAAGTATACCTGTGATCCAGGTAGCCAGCATCAGTTTGTTTTAGTCACTTACAGGGTAACATACTCTTGGCCAAACCTCCTAGTTCTAGTGAAACCTTTTTTGATTGTGGATACCCCTGCGCTAACAAATTTTTCTCTCTGTGCGCAGTTGTCTGGATTTTGCATCACCTTTGCTACCTGCCAAACCACCCTGCACTCTACGACCGCCTCGCGTCAGAACAGACGTTCTGTTTTGTCTCTGTTGCTATGCTTGACACTGATTTTATGGAATAGAGCTTAACCAATCAGCATGTGATGTGCGTATCGGAAGAAAAAGGGTTAATATCCTAAACATCCTCTTCTCAATGCTGGCAAAACAATCGCTGGTTCATGGACGGCATCTTTAGTATTTGCATTTCTATTATAATGCTATGATTTGACTATTTCTGTGTAGTAGTTTTTGTGATTTGTGGCCATTATAAATCTTCACCTTGTGCAGTATTCTGCTGCTAGACAAAAATAGTTCAACTACATACAGTAAAATCATACTTAACATGGTCCCGTTCAAATAACTTTAATGTGCTTCTACTCACACATGACAAAGAACAGCCTTGTTTTGTCTGCTTTTAATCATATTACCAAGCATGCTCCACTAGATCCTTCAGTGCATCATCTGTGGCTACAAAAGCTTTCTGTACACCGTGCTGCTTTATAAAATTGAAGAAATTCCAAATGTATGATTTTTAAGCCTGTTTCTTAAAACCAATATTTTTTCTATTGATATTAACTTAAACTTGTACAAGTACTTGGAGCATCTGATGGTCTACTTAAACAAAGTGGTTGAAGATGTTGCTCTCCAATTGCTTCTGTGGTCTTTTTACATCATATGCTTTTTGTGTCTGCTCACCTTCAGTTGAATCCATGGTGATGCACAAGGCAATGGCATAGGATTTTTATATTTTGAAGTATCTTATCAGGTATCTTAAATGTATTTATTAAAATAAAATACATTTATTTTTGTATCAAAGTTCTAATCGTATAGAACACGAAGAAATGCACATCTCCCACAGAGACAATGCTCACAGGTGGATGCTAGGATGCTGGCGAGAGCAAAGGGATATGCATGCAGGCAGGGACTGAAGAGCAGTGTTGCAAAATTGCAGCAGAAGAATGAACAGGTAAGCACAAGGGCAGTCAGACAATTGGAGAATGTAGCTCACATGAAAAACAACAACAAACACATATCAGTCAAGTTGTCTGCGATAGCTTAGTCACAAAGTCACTCTGTTAACAAGGTATCCACAGCAACAGACACACTGTAATGAAATAAACATCACCAGTGACATTTAGCTCCGTGTTTATTTTGTTTGTCCATTCTCAACTCAAATTGATATTTTCAACCACCTGAAGGCAGCACAATGCTAATTGGCTAGAGAGACTTGGTCACAATTTATGCACAGTATAATCACTTTGTCATTGACAGTTCAGCAAAGAGGTAAAATATACCACAGTAAAGTTGGACAATGTAAACCTACAGTATACTGTACAAACCATTTTAACCTAACGCTCATGCAGAATATTGTTTTTGTACATCATTTCCTTGTTTTACCATGTTTTGATGGGGCTGTTGGTCTCGCTCATTCCTTTCACTATGCCCTGTCCAATCCAGTCATTCGCCATGCTAAGAATTAGTGTTATTTCACTTTAGCCCACCTTTAAAGATTATCTTACTGTCAAGTAACATCTCTACTACACAGCCACATACCGAACAACATTGGGATTTGAAAATAAGGGAAGTTTTCAGGCAACAGCCCGTCCGACTACATAAGAGTTGTGTGGACCGAGTGGACCCAAATGCAACGCTCAAGATTAACAGGTTTTATTAGGGGAAAAAAGGAGTTGAGGGAGAGGTGGATGCCGGGGAAACGGAGGCATGGGGAACCGAGGAGACTGAGACCAGAGAGCCGAGGGACACTGGGGGCCAAGGAAGAGAGGAGGCACGGGAGAACTGATCAGGGGGTTGGTGGAGGAGTGTGGTGGTGGCAGGCTGACTGGGAAGGCACGAGGGAGAGCTGGGAGGACGGCGTGGGGGGAAGTCCAAGGGGAGAGGGCAGGTGAGCGAGCCCAGCTGACTTGACAGAGAACGAGGGTGAGTGAACCTGGGGAGAGACAGATAGACAAACAGGGTTACTCAGGGAAAACCAAGAACAGGGAAACAGAGATCATGCAGGTTACACAAGAGCTTGAGTGATCAAGTGGCACCTGGTTAGGAGCAACGACGATCAAGCAGCCCACATAGCAGTGACATTTGGCCCAGATTTGGCTTAAAGCTGGCACTGCTGGCACTGAGTCGGCACTGGCATAAGGCATATGAACCGAACATGGCCCAGGTGTGGCAGACAATGGCACCGCCTTTAAGGCGGCAAACAAGATATGGGCCAGTTGTTGAGCGTTGTATTTGGCCCAGATGTCAAATTAGAAATGTGGGCCACAGATGTATGACCGGTCTTGTCCCACAGTTTAATTTCAGATATTTTTGAGTAAGGTGCTAATAATTATTTAAAAGCATACTTCCATGACTTGTATTTGTAAACAAACAAATTTAAAAAAATTAGGCCCATGATGAGTTTTTTTTTTCTTTTTTAAAATACAAAATCTAGACACCTCCTCCACTATTTTTGTACCTTGCCAGTAAAAAAACCGTTTTAAGATTTATTTATTTTTTGTTAGGAATTAATTCAAATAATGTCATGATCCTGTAGGGATTTAGCTCCATTCAAGCCGTCTTGAAATGGTGATCTTCTGAAAAGGAAAAACTAATGGGAATTTTAATTCTGAAACAAGGCCCTGGAAATAGTAGGCGTTAACGTTCTGATGTCAATCAATTGAATTTATCAACGTATCCACTCAGTGTAGGCTGCACCAGGGCCGTGGACAGGGACGTCACTGGAACGAGCCAACGGTCGAGACTACCAAGAAAAAAGAGAGAGTGCTGACTCACTGCACTCACGGTCACGGACTAGTTTGGGGAATAGCAAGTTGCCCAGAGCACTGTGGCTACAAGCCAGCAAAGAAGTGGTGAGTGAGAAACAATAATTTCATGTTTATGAAAACGTTACTGTTTTAGTTATTACATTTGCTGTTAGCTCACAAAGCTAACATTCGGGAGAGGTCGGGAGTCTAGCTTGAATGTTACTGTAAGGATGGGGCTAGGCTAGGTATAAGCTAACGTTAGCTAGCTAGCTAATCGTCATAGGCTATTAAAAAGATGTTATTTCCGAGTAAGCTTGTGAAAAGTGCTATTTTTGGTTAACCTATTTTGCAATTAAATTTAGATAACATTAGAGAATGGTATTCTTTCAAGCTAAGTGATATGCCTTGATATAGATTAGCTAACGTTAACTTAATGTAGTTTTGAAAAGTAACGGCAGGATTTTTGAATTTAGCGGCATTTGGAGATGCGCGTGCAACCATCACGCCATGGCCGTGCAGCTCTCCTTTAAATTTCAAACACGCAGAAAAAATATTTTACGTATTACAAGATTATCTATATCAATGCAGTGTCACTAATCTTGAAATAATTTTGAAATAATTAGTTCAGCTCGAGTAGTTCATATGTCACCTGCTCTGCTGCGTGTGTAAGGTTGACTGACGTTAATACACACAGACATGAAGCCCCATCAATGGCCCATCCTCAACCTGGGGAAAGACCTCAACCTGGGGTAGAAAGCCATAGGCAGCCATTACTGGTTCATATTGTACTCTGTCCTTTAAAATCCTGTAGTCACAAGTTAATTGTGTGTGTTTTTTTTTTTTTTAGCTGCTGTGAGGCGTAACCGTCTGACATCTGGGGCCACGGACCAAGAAATAGATTCCACCATCAAAAGATGGCTTCATCTGGCTCCGGATAGGGATGGTGGCAGGAGGGAGAGGATGAGGAGAAAAGAGCGTGAAGAGAGCAGGACAGCAGTAAACAATTTAATGAACTGAAACATGGCATAGACATGTGTGCAGAGTACAACGGGTTCATGTACTGAAACATAGCATGGATGTTCAGAAGTTGTTTTTTGTCAAGTGTTTCACAAGTTTACAAGTGCAAAACCGAACTGAATTTCAGCTGGAACAGCGGGAGGCCAGGACTGTGTTTGTTATCCTGGACGAAAGTTGTGTGCAGAGTACAATGGGTTCATGGACTGAAACATAGCATGGATGTTCAAAAGTTGTGTGTGTTTTACAAGTGCAAAATCTAACTGAATTTCAGCTGGAACAGCAGGAGGCTGGATCCGTGTTTGCTAACCTGGACTGGGCTAAAACACTTAACCTGGTCTGGATGTTGTGGGAAATAAATACCATAATTTCTGTGCCGGAGAGATCCTCACGCCAAACTATGTTCAAAAATCTTTTATGTACAAGTGTTTTGTACAAGAATTTCCTATTTGTCTGTACATTTTTACAAATGCACTGCTGACGTGGGGGGGTTGAGGTGAGAGGAGATAAGTGGAGGAGGGGACTGGAAAAAAGAGAGGAAGAGATTGTCTGGCAAATAAAATTTACAGTTTTGAAAATGGCTTGATGTGGAAAAATCAATAAATATTTTTCATAAAACGTCTGTATTGAGGCTTTTTTTTTTTTTTTGTAATCTGGGCCAAATACGGCAACTGTATAAAATTAAAGTGGCATGGTGAAGGTTAGTTGAGGCTGACATGTGGAAACAGTGCAAAAATCAGGTATGGTCCAAAATAGGGCCAGCTATAGTCATACAGTGGGCTGAGATATGGCTATATCATGGGCCATATGTGGCCCGTGTTCTAGCTACCAGATATGGACCACTTGTGGACCGTAATTCATTGATGTATCTGGGCCGAGTCTAAGTGTGTGTGTGGCCCGTCACTGGGCCAGACCAGTTTTGCTATGTGGGAGGGGTTTACTGGAGAACCTTATTACCTGAATATCCTGAAAAATGCCTCGGAAATGAGTACAATTATTGTAGATATTTTGGATAAAAAGAGATTGGACACTTAATATAACCAAGACTTGACAACTTGGCTTGGGGTGGTGATGGCGCAGTGGATAAGACACATGCCCTTGGTGTGAGAGACCTAGGTTCAAATCCTCACTGTGACCCATCCACCATGTGTCCCTGAGCTAGACACTTAACCCCTAGTTGCTCCAGAGGCGTGCGACCTCTATATAAGTCGCTTTGGATAAAAGTGTTAGCTAAATGTATATGCGTGACCTCCTGACCTTTACCATCGAGCAAATGCAACAATACCAATAATACCTCTTGCTGTCTGCTTGCGCTTCACTGACCTACAGCAAGCAATAAAGTCACAACAGAGACAAGCAAGCTAGCTAATCAGAGAACAAAATGTATTCATTCAAACAGAAACTCTCAGTCGAGTGGACAAGTACTGCTTTTTCATTTGTGTAGCAATATAATTGTTCCTAGTTTGTGTTATTCAGGGGAGCAATCAGAGTGTGACAATGAACACAAGTAATACTAAATAGCACTAAATTTAATGTGAAGACTGAGTAAATAGTTCAAGGCTTTAATGGTCTATTCTGTACTGTTTAGAGAGAACGGAAGAGAATAAAACATGGTGACAGGGTTTGATGTAAACAAGAGCTGCTACCTTGCTAATTAGCTTTGGGAAGTCAACTGGCTAACAGAACATCACAACAGGTGAGCGGAAAAAGTAGCTGATGTTGGAAATCTCTGGCAATACTCGTTTTGGACCCCACCAATCATGTAATACATGGAAGTGTTAAAAGGAGGAGGTTACACTGTACACGGACCTTACAATGCCCGATGCAGAAGAAAGTATGACAGTCAAGCTGTTCTGTTATCTCACAGGAGAGCGTAGACAGCTGTTGGATACTCTGACGAGTGACAGTGTGTCAGCGAGAAGAACAAATAGTACAAATAGCTCTGCAATGAGGGAGAGATTACTCAGGGACGAGAATATAACACTTGATAAATTCCTGCAAATATGTAGAGCTACAGAGCTGTCAAGGGAGAAAAGCAAAACACTGCAAGGACAAACAGTTAGCCAAAGTCCATGCACTGAAACAGAACGCAAAGAAAGGCAAAGACAACAAGATCTACTGTAAGTTGTGTGTTAAAACACATGAGAGAAGCAAGAACAAATGCTCCGTTTTTGGCAAAAAAAAGAAAATGAAAAGATTTAGTGGGAATCATTTTTGCTGTAAAATGCAAATCAAGAACACAACAGCAGGAAAGGTAAGCCTGTATGTTTTCTCAGAGCAGGACAGTGTGCTATGAACATAAAAGAAGTAAATGGGGACAATGAGATGGTAACCAAATGAAAGAGAGCCATCGTCAAGATCAACAACTCTTTGCAGGAATGATGGAAGACAAAAAACTGGTTAACTTCCAGATAGACTGTGGAGCCACTTGCAATGTCGTCCCCATACATCTTTCCTAAACCCAGGCACACAGCAGAGGTAAAGGTCAGCTACCCCAGAAACAATTAACTGTACAGAATGGAGTTTCAAGTGGTGGACCAGAATGGCTGAATTCCTCTACAGAGTAGGAAGGCCAGTGAAGCTATTAATTAGTACAATTAGTAATTAATTCAAGTACAGAGAATACAGAGAATACATAGAATACGACAATATCATGGCCATTGACAGCATTGTGAAAAAAAGAACTCTATCCTGTGACAAATGAGGAAAGATGTGACGAAGACATGATGATGGAGAAAATCAAAACAGAGTTGAAGATGTGTTCACTTGTAATGGCTGTTGGAAGGGTGAATATAGCTTTGAAATAGACAAGGGAAACTGCCAAATTGCAGGGTACCAGTTGCATGAAAGCTACACTTATAGAGGAGCACAAGGATCTGGAATGAAGACAGTTTATCATAGCAGTGGAACTTAGCACAGACTGGATAGGTAGTGCTGACTCAATGACAACTGAACCAGAAGCCAAGGATCTGCATAGAACCACCGCTGTTATAGATGTTATAGCCTAGTTATATTCTAAACACAGCTTGAATTTAAATGCATCATACAATTTACAAAAAAGTGTTTTATAGGCGGTTATAATAATAGCCTCATAATGTCAGCTAGTTCTTACTGTTCTGCTTGTTTTTTCGGACTCCATCGGGCATCCAGAGAGTAATACATAGCTACAAAAGTTTGAAAGTCCAAATAAAAGTAGGCTATTTATTTGAAATAAACGATTATTAGCCTATCAATTCCGAAATTCATAGTAGATTTTTACCCAACGGAAAAACATAATGATCACTTTTACTAAAATATACAAAGCACTGGAAAAGTTATAGACGGTCAAAAAGCACACGAGGGAGCTGCACGCTCTCTTGAAGGGACCGCAGAACACACCTCTATCGCAGCGAAAAACTAGTCTACTGCAGCATTAGTTCTGATGATCATGTAGCCTACACAAAAGCTATAAGCAGCGGCTTTTATGCATATTTACTTCATTCAGGTGGATCGCTGTCAGATAATGACCCGTCAGATGCAGAATCAACCCAGGACACATCGCTCAGCCTCCACCATCAGACTCTCCTTCACTCACTGCGCTTAGCAAGTGTAATGCCTGTAGTGGGAAAGGCGTTGCCTATAGCAACATAGAATGTTTATCTAAACGTGCGTCATGAACAGCGCTAAAATGACTGTATTCTCTATAGGGGTAAATTTTACCCGCTGGCGCTTATAGGTATAAATGCCGATTTTTTAAAATCTGGCTTTATCTTGACATTTTTAACAATAGGGGGTGCTACATAACACACTTTTAGGAAAAGTCAGAGACTGGGGGACTTGAATATTATATTGAAACAAAGATACATACAATCAAAAAACAGCCACGGGTAAATTTGACCCGTTGGCGGTTCTAGTGTTAAACCTGTGAGCCATAGATCTTGTGAGGTGGAGCTGCAGTGAGTAGGTATTCTGAAAAGGAATGGTCATCTGAGACGCAACCATTGCATGGTAGAGCGGGGTCAAGCGGGGGACAAAAAACACTGACTACAAGGTCGGGTCGTCAGGTTATCAGACCTGGGTAACTGAAAGACTTTACACAGTGAAGAGAGTTTGGATTCAGGACTCTGATGGCTCCAATGAAGAGTGAAATATGTAACACGGATTGTTTGGTTAGAATGTTTTGGTTGTGTATATCTGTAGGTGTCAAAGTAGTCCAGAGAGGATAATTAGATTGGTTTTTAAGGGATGTTCTTATTGATATCCTTACTGATGTTGAGAACACAAGGTGTTTTGTAGATAATGATCACTGTGATTTAGTGATTTGAGAGTAAGGGACTTTATTTCAAGAAAAACAAGAAAAGATGTAACAATATGATTGTTGTTCCTAGTTTGTGTTGTTCCTGGGAGCAATTAGAGTGACATAGAACACGAGTAATGCTGGCTAGAGCTGAATTTGATTTAAAGACTGTGTGAGTTACTAAAGGAAGCAAATTCAAGGCTTTAATTGTCCATTCTGTACGATTTTGAAGGGACGGAACGGAATGAAACAATTTGCTGTAGAAAAAAAGGCTTGTCTGAAATGTCCCTTTGTTCACTCGACATGCAGTCCTCCATCGCAGAGGAGTTGAACATGTGAGCATGTGGGTGCAAGATGGGGATTGTTAACCTTTTCATTTTGTGCTATGGGGCAGTAAAAATCAAACTACGTGGTGGGTGTCTTATATATTCTTGTTTCACCTCTCAATGCTGACTTGCCCTCTGTCCCTCCCTTAGCGTCAACCTTGTTATTGCCGATATATGACACCAATGGGCTTGTTTATCCTGGTGTGGTTGGCTACTCATGGGTGACTAAATGCCAGATACGAGTTTAATTAGGACTGCAGACAGACCTGATTACACACCGCTATATGATTATTTTTTCCTGTATGCATCAGTGTGTACAGCTTTGTGGGGACGTTCATGTGTGCATAACTGTCCCTACAGACGTGGTTGCATGCAAGAGCGAAAGGAGCATCTTTCAGTTTTATTTTTGTTTGCTCTCTGTCTTTTTGTTTATGCCACGCGTTTGCGTGAGTATACATCAGTCTGACAAAGTGTCTCTATGTGTGAGGATGAAAGACCCGGCCAGACAAAGAGAAAGAGACAGATATATAAAAAAAAAAAAACATTAAGTTACTCATGTCTGCCTGTTTGCTTGCATTTGTTTGTCTCTTTCTTGTCTGTATGTAGCCCACACAGCAGGCAGAGCACATTAGTGACAGTTTTTCGTGATGGAGAAGACAGGAAAGGCGAGATAATGTGCTAAATTTGCATAATAGTTTCCCACAACTTGGCTCAAAGGTCCCTGTAAATCTTTGCTGTGTGACACAAGGTTATTAGTCCTAAACCCCTTTTCAGGTCTGCCAGATGAACAGTAGTGGGTCAGACACTTGTGATGAATGTACCCTACTTTGAGCGGCCGCCGCACTTTCTTCAGGTTTTCATTTTATTTATTTACCATGACTGTTATACTCTGGTTGGCTAAATAAAGCCAGCCACATTATGTGTTCGATTTGAAGTTGTTATTGGCTGGGAAGTGCATCTACCAGCACTGTAATTCACTACCTGCAGACTCCATTTCCATGGGCGCACTCAAAACTGAAC